CTCGTTCAAGGTGATAAGGTATTCCTTGACTATTTGTTTATCTATCTCCAGCTACAATCCTGCCCCCCCCCTTTCAGTTCCAATTTGTTTGGAAGTTCAAAGTCTGTCTCTTTCTGGGAAAAGACTGAACTAAAATAGGAATTGACCAACTCTGCTTTTTTTTTTTATCCTCTGTTACCATTTTTTCCATCTCCATTGTGGAGCTGTGCCACTATGTCTTTTGTTTGTCTTTTGCTACTCATGTACCTGAAGCTCTCACACAGCAGCTCTAGTCCAGCTTCTCCTGTTTTAGAGGGTTCTTTCAGCATATCAAAGGACAAAATCCTGTTATCCCAGTTATACTATCATACACAGAATCTAGACACTGAAAATGATTAAATTAATTTAAAGCTTTCTGTCACCCTGTTTCAAGTTCTGAGGTCCCCTTTTCCCTTTGGGTGCCTCATGGTGGGGCAGGAGTAGCCTTTAATAATCAGAAATTGCTGCTAGATTGACTGTAGTGGTCTTGATTCCAGAAGTAACCATCTGGCAATTGTTGTTTTTTAATTATTAAAGCCTCCCCCCCCCACTGTTTCAGAACTCTGGAAGGCTTTGCAGTTAATTTAAATTAATTATTTCCAGCACCCAGATCTGGTTTATGCCAACATAATAGTGCCAACAGGATTTTGTCCAAAGAATGCTCTTAATGATTGTAATGTTTTTGTATTAAACATTTCTTCAGTAAGAAAGTTTTGCTTATTTTCAGAATCTGCTGTTCAGGGAAAATATAAATAAATACTCCGACTAAATCAAATTTAATATACCATAAAATGCTAACTTTGAATTCTAGTTTATTTGGATTCTTTGTTGATATGTTTGGATAAGCAAGATCAAAGTTCCCTTTAAGGTGTGCACCTGCACGCAACTCTGCCCCCTTCTGCACAGCGTTCCTCCTACATGCACGGTCACGACACAACCCTGTGTGTGTGTGTGTGTGTGTGTGTGTGTGTGTGTGTGTAGGAATCCCAGTGAGAGGGCCCAGCTCAGCGGGGCTGAAAATTAGAGGAAACATTGTGCTATGCATGCAGTGACATAGTCGTTAAGATTAAGTTTTTTTTTATATATTTTCCCTTCTATAAGTCTTCATGCCGTAGTCAGACACAGTGGTGCCTCGCATTGCGACATTAATTCGTTCCAGCGAAATCGCTGCTAAATGAAAACGTCGCAATGCAAAAATAAAAAGCCCATAGAAACGCATTAAAACGCGATTAATGCGTTCCTGTGGGCTTCAAACTCACAGTTCAGCGAAGATCCTCCATAGCGCGGCCATTTTCGCTGCCTGTTAAGTGAGGAATCCGTCCCAGAAAACAGCAGGTGGCCATTTTGAAACCGCCGATTAGCTGTTAAAAAGGCATTGCTTTGCGATGATCGGTTCCCCAAGCAGGGAACCAATCATGGCAAAGCACCGCCAGCCAGACAGCCAACTCCGGATGACACCCGGCCTCCTTGGCGGGGCTGTCCCGGGGCGCAGCCGGGTAGGCCGGAGGGTCTTTCTCCAGCGAGCGAGGGCGGGAAGGGGTGCGCCACCGACCGCCAGCCAGCCAACCCCGGACGCCCAGTCTCCTTGACGGGGCACAAACGGGGCAAGGAGGGGGTCTCTGGTGCACCGCCCCCCGGTCTAGCTGCTGCCGCCCTGATCCCGGTCCCAGGCGGGCGCCTCCTCCTTTGCAGCGCTTCCTGCCGTGATGGCTCTCTGGCTCAGCGCCCCATGGGTGCACGCGGGGATCGGGGCCAGGTCCTTCCCCCCTCCTTCCCTCCCCTCCTCCTGAGGGGCCAATCCGGAGCGCCCCCCCTCCCCCTCCCACCGTCCCCTATTTATGCAAGAGCTCTGAGGAGGGTAGGGTGCGGCGCCGATCAGCTGTTTAAAAAGCATTGCTTTGCCATGATCGGTTCCCCAAGCAGGGAACCCATCATCGCAAAGCGAATTTCCCCCATAGGGAATAGCGCAAAGCGATTGCAAAATCTTCATCACAAAGCGATTTCATTGTTATACGAAGCAATCACTGTGCGAGGCACCACTGTAATTACACAATTGAACCCACTGTGGTCAAGAGAAATCTTATCTCTATAATAGCTGAAGAACCTTCTAGCTAAAATTTGGGATAGACATGTGTGGACCCGACCTAATAATTTTTCTTTGAGGTATACCTTTCTGGAAAAATTCCTAGTTATTCAAGATTAGATGCAATGATTCTATGAAGAGGTTATGAAAAGGAAACTACTTCCAGTTTGTGTGGAATCTTGCAACCCTCCTCACCCCGCCCTCTTTTATACTGGCTATTAAATATTATTCATTTCAGATCTCCAAACCCTTTTATTTTTCTTTCTAATGTGAATTCTTTGCAAGATCACGCTCAGGGTTATATTCAGCTATGTCTATCTGCCAGCAGGACACCAATGGGGGAATGAATTTACCTTCTGCCTGTTAGCTCTTTGCAGACACTCTAAGAATGTGTGGGACCTTCCAGAACACATGGGGGGGGGGAGAGCAACTGGAAGTCCATTTGTGTAAGTGTGTTCCTGCACTGTTGAGTGGAACCCTAATTCTTGAATTACCCATTCTGTTTGTCTCATTAGCAGCTTTCAGTAGGAGCCATCACTTCCTTCAGGTTTTGTGAATCCACCATCTAGATTACAACTACTGACTAGTCATTCTAACAATAGTAATAAAGACTGTCTATTCTCTGTACTATTTCTAGAGAATTTGTTTATGAAATACATATATGGGAGAAAATGGAAAAAGCTGACACCTTTCTTGTTACCGTATTTTTTGCTCCATAAGACGCACCGGACATTAAGACGCACCTAATTTTTGAATACCAAAATTTAAAATAAAATAAAAATAAATAAACAGAGCAAGTTCCACACTGGGACTGCAAAAAAAAAAAAAATCAGTAGAAAAGAAAAAAAGCAGAAACATAACCCCCCACCCCAAACCCACCTTGTAAAAGCCACCAGAACAGTTTTTAAAAAACAGCTCCCTACCTTGCAGTAAAAAGCAGCAGCTTACCGGTCCAAAGCCTCCTGGAGGTCCTCAGAAGCCAGCGATGATGGTGAGGGGCCCCCCCGCGGGGCCTTCGGAGGCCTCAGGAGGCCTCAGAAGCCAGCAATGATGGCGTGGAGGGGACAGTATTCGCTCCATAAGACGCATACACATTTTCCCCCAATGTTTTTGGGAGAAAAAGTGCGCCTTATGGTGCAAAAAATACGGTATATCATTATTTTTCCTTTATAACAATTATTGCTTTGTGAGAATGTAACATGTGGAACATATCATCTTATGTCAGATGTTTATAGTCATGAGTTTCTTCTGTTTGTCAGTATCCTACACATTACCTATCTTAAACCTCCTGGGTACTCTAAAATTGCATCACTTTTTATGATGAAGTATAGATGGTTTTACGTCCACTTGATGCAGTTCTTGAGTTGCAGTCAAACAAAGCTGGTGTTAGCATGATGGGGAACATTCCCATTAGTTGAAATCTAAATTTTATATGGAATCCATGTCTTCAAAAGGAATTTGAAGACAAAATTTATTCTCCTTTTGAAGTACAGCATGTGAAATCTGAATGTTATTTTAGGGACACATGACAATAAATACGTTGTATAAATTCCATTTCAAAAAAGGTCAAAGGAAGTGCTTTCAAAAAAGTGATAATGTGTGAAACTATTTTTGTGGATGTACACTCTTGCAAACAATTTTTTTGAAAGTTGATGCCTACAGGTTTCTTATTGTGTCCCATCTTGTGTCAGGATAGTCTTATGGTCAAAGCGCAATGCTATTCTCTGTCTTTTACTACTGCCTAGCACAATATTAATGGTACAGGAAACAAGTTTAATACAGTATTTAAATTCAAATGGAGTTCCTGCCCCTGTGTGTATCCCTGTGAATAATTTGAGTAAGTGTTTTGTCCAGCTGTTTTCAGGTAGAGACACTGAAGTGTTTTGAGCATCAAGAGGGAAGCAATTTATCTAGAAGACAAGTTAAAAATTGGAAAATATCAGGTCTGCTTCAGAAGATTGCTAATTGCATGGTTGCTGCCAAAGCCCACATCCAGATGGCTGGAGTTCTCTATAATTGCTGCAACACAAGACTGGGAACTTCAGACTGTCCTGAGGATCCATTTCATTATCCTTGGCCTTTCCCATGGCTCCATGATTTGGTGATTTGGTGTTTGCCCCCCCACACCTCAATTCTTCCTGTTTTTCCTGAAGCAGACAGTGAGGATTTAAACTAAAATAAGCTGATGTTTCTATTCTCATCTTTCTGCCTTTGGCCCCACCTACTACTGGAATGCAGGCCCTGAGTACTTCTCTGATTGATTTCAGTCCTCAGTATGAAAGAGGTTCCTTACCTTTCCCCAACAGATGGTAATGCAACTATTGTGAAGCTGAAAGCTTCTGCAAAAGTGTAGTGTTTGCATGATGTTCCATACATATGTATAGATGCATTGGGAGAAGCTTACTTAAAGCAAGCAGTAGCATTGATCTCTAACTGTGTAGAAGCAATTCCTAAATTTTACACTCTTCCTATCAGGATTAAAGTGGGTTTTCAGTTGCTTATTCAAGGTGAGCTAAAGGTTTTTTAAGAACTACAGAATTGACTGATGCTTTATTAATTTCTTCCAGCGTTCCAGAATACTTGCTTCTGATTTAGAAAACAAAGAGCAATATGACCTCTAGACTTAAAAATAATAGAATTCACCTAGTAGGCAGATATATATATAATTATGATTCTTTGTGAGAGATTAAATTTTAATACTGTCCTTTCCAGTATTTAAAAATATCATTTTAAAAGTCAGAATTGTTATGTTGCAGACTGAAAGGAAGAATTTGTGTGTTGTAAAATACTAGATTGAATGCATTTGATTTTAATGATGAGATTAGCTTTTCTTAACAAATAAGCTTTGTGAAAGTGTAGTATCACATTTGATGTAAGTCTTTGTTTTTTCCTCTTCAAGACTCGGTGTGGACAGTAATGACCGCACGTTTCCGATTGCCTGCTGGCAGAACCTACAATGTACGAGCTTCTGAGCTGGCACGAGATAGACAGCATACAGAGGTGGTCTGCAATATTCTTCTTCTGGATAATACCATACAAACATTCAGAGTTAATGTAAGTACAATTATTCAAGAAACTTGTTTAGAAAACATGCTTTTCATCTTCAGGTTCTAGACTGAGGAAGGTATTTTCTTGCTATTGCATGATGTGTGTTACTGAACTGAACGAATAGCAAAATTCAGTTATTCATTTATTTACATGATATGTTCATTAATGCAGAATGAAAAGAAGAATTCCGGGTTTCTGATGTTAAACGCAATTTCTATTTTAGAAATCTGACTTTCAGACACCAGTTTCCTTTTGACCTGTATCACACAAAATGAGATTTCTGAAAAATGAGATAATTAAGACTAGATATCTCAGACCTGAGTTCACTAAACTAAAGTAATAATAGTTAAGTGTGTGTGTAGGGATGTGCAATTCACATACTTTGGAGTACAGCTCTGAGAATTTTGCCAACAATTCCTTAGACAGAATGAGTTCTAGCCCACAAATCACCGGGAGCAGGACTTTAGTCTATTGAGGAATGCTTCCTGTGAGTTCTTCATGAATCGGGCACCTCCTAGACAACTACCACTCCAAGGAAGCAATTTAGCAGGAAATGAAGGCCTAGAATTTCTTTGAACTTCAGAGGAATAGGCTTTACTCCAGGTGAGCAAAATATAGATGTCTAAAAATTCCTGTGGGTATGCATCTTCCTTCGGTCTAGAACTCTCAGCATATATGGTATATATATCAGTATCAGTATAATGTGCTTGCTTGTAATATATGGTTGTGGTTTAGTGTAGTGGGCAAGAATGAAATGTGTGTGGAAGAGATCCTACCTCAAATTCAACCACAAATTTCCCACATAGCCTTAAGCAAACTATTATCTTTCAATCTCAGTCAACCCACTTTCTGTATCCCTTCTTTCATTATGCGAATAATAGCTTGTAGTGTCATTATTTGTGGTTTTGGTACCATGTATGTGAATAATTCCAGAAGGAATATGCTAAGAACTTCAAGGTAGTTTTAAGTGCCATATAAATAATACTGTTTTTAGAAATAATTATTTAGAAGCTGTGGTTTCAGTTTTATGGAGAGATTTAATTGTAAATATTTGAGGCTACAGGCTTCAGGAGGAGGACAGTATAAATGGGATCTCTAGAACATCATTTTTTCCTGTTTTTTTTTTCCAATAGTGAATGTGTGGATTTCTTCCATACTTTCAGTATATACTTATGGGAGCTTTCTTACAAGCCTGTATAAACTTACTTCACTTGCAGTAACTAATTTGTGGTGTTGTCACACCATAAATTCTGTTCAGAATGGTTGAAACTATTGCCAACTGATGGTCCTTGCCTAAGTCTGATTTCCTAAAAGAGGCTTTCTGGCCTATTAGTTGTAACCAATCCTGTCCTTCCCCCTTTACCCTTTTCCTGCTTACATAACTAGCTGTACTGTACTACAATCTCTCTTCTCTCAACACAAGTGGTGTTGCCTTATTTGAAATTGTATTTTAGATGAACAGCATAAAACTGCCTTTTATGTGGGTTGCTAAGATATATGACAGCTCGTTTTACATTTCCTAAGTATATTAAAATTTGTATGAGAAGTTTAGACAGTTACATTGGCTTCACGTACTAATCAGGAAGTATCCAAACAGGAAGTGAAAATGAGCATTGCTTTTGAAATAACTTGGAAAGAAAGAATGTGCAGTATGAAGAGAGACGTGAAAGCTTTCCTATCTCCTCTGCATGGAAATAGTACAGGAGAGATGTGGTTTGGCTTAAGCAATTCCCAGTATGGTATAAATTCTGTCTCAGGTGTTTCATAATATGTATGTAACTATGAGTTACTACTGACCATATAAATCTCTTGAGGATAGAAGTGCTGTTGCCCACGAGTGATGTTGCCTTATTCTCTCCCACTGCAGCCCTCTAGTTCTCACTCCAGGCCTTTTCTCAGGGTCTCCTGACCCACAGGAGAAGATTTTCAGAGGCACAGAGTGCTGGACAGAGGAGGAGAGTATGGAGAATTGTATGAGTGCTGAGACTGGATACAATCTTGGGTATTTCAGCTTTCAAGTATATTCATTGTTTAACGATTTGGCAGAAAGTATTATTTTAAAAAGAATGTTTACAATAACAGCCAATAATATTTTTCTTCTTTAAAGTTGATAGCTTTCTGTTGTTATGTCAAAGAAATGGATCCTCACTGGATAAATGCTGCAGAACCAAATAATGGCAATTTGAAATTAAAGGAGAATAACATACTTTATTATATGCATAGTGGTTTACCTTGGTAAAGCCTTGATCTTTGCTGAATGAAAACTGCTTGTGTTTGATTTAGGTTGCTAATGGGCTTTATAGTGGAGAAATGGGAATCTTACGGTTTTATCAAAACACTTATCTGAATAGTGAATCTGTCTGTCATAAATAATCTATAGAAATGAATGTATTTTGCCACAGGGATTTATGGAAAACAAGGGCTGGAAGGTTACTTAAAAGTACATTTTGTAGTCCCATAAAATGGTTAGGAGGGCAAGAATGTGTTATATAGTAATTCTTTCACATGAAATGCCTTATCAACTAATAATGCACAGAAAGGGGATTCTGCATAAAAGCTTGGCTAGCGGGCCAAAAGGTCCAAGGGTAGCTTGAAAGGAGACACAGCTTTTGGAATGCATGAAGGAAATAAAAGACTGGCTAAGAAGCAAACCTGCAAAATACAAGAGAAGGAGAAAGCCAAGATCTCATGGGCAGGGACAGAGTTGTTGAGTATTTTTATGGCCAGAAGCCTGAATTGTAATACAATAGAAGTAAAGAAGCCAGCTGTATTGGAGGCATACAGTAGTGTGCAGGCATTTGAACAATGTTGTTACTAATTTGTATTTTTTAAGTAAAGAAATTATTTTCAAAAATGGAATGGAAGGTTACACTCTTCCTCTTGTAGGAGGCAATAATAACTGCTCCTTTCTGACTACTTTTGTATCCTTGGTCTACCAGCAATTGAAACAAAATATTTCTTAAGCTCAGAGTCATTAAGTGATTCAAGAGGATGCTTTCTTTTAATATCATGAGTGTTAAAATTTCAGTTAACCATTTTCACTCCCAAACGGCATTTGAAGGGAAAAAAGCACACCGCTGGTTGCTTTCACTTTCTTGGGCATTAGTTCCCTGCCCTAGAAATTTGTAAGCTGCAAAAGAGTAACATATTTCAGAAGAATCTAGAGGAGTTTAAATGTTCATATCTTCTATATGTAAATGTATATCTCTTTGAGTATTGCTAAAATTTTCAGTAGTTTTTCTCCATAAATTTTCATTCCAAAATGCAAAATACAAAGCAAGATTCAAAATTTGGATTGAATATTTTGTTCATGATGTAGAACTTTCTGAGCATCTCGGACAACATCTAGAAAGTGTTTCTTTTGAATCAAACTTGCAAGATATTACTAGTAGTATTTGAACTAGGAAAGTGTTGCAGACCTCTAAATTCTGAACAGAATCTTGCTGCCTAGCATAGTAAATTGCACTAGAATAGGCTGATTTGAATCAATGGAACTTACAGAGGAGCTTTCTCACTAAATCCCCATGGATTTAGTGGTTTAGCTCTAGTGTGGTTTATTACACTAAGCAACAGGAGTTTGGCTTTTGTATTGAGTTTGAAAGTCTCAGAGCATTCTCAGGAACTAGCTTTGATAATGTTTTGACCTCCCTCTGTCCAAGTTTGTGCTTTTTGAGAACTGTCAGAAGTGAAGTGTTCTGTTTTGGTGGTAATTGATATTTTGCTTTCATTTAAAAACATTATTACATTTTTCTCCGGTAAGATAGTATATAAAGGGGGGAAATGGGCAAAGCTGTGGGCAGAAAATCACGACCAGGGATCATACATTACCTTACTCCAAAATTATACCACTGACTATATTGGGGGGAAATTAGTTAATCGCTTTGAAAATGTTTTAAAGAAATATTATAGATGGCATTTCAAAACTGGAAAATACTCTGTATAATGTTGACAAATCAGAAGGCCAATCCCGGTTTGATGACACTGGAGTTGATAAATAAAAATTAGAAAGGAGGAAGTTACTTGCTGAACAATAATAGAAATCAATCGATTTAAGATATATAAGCAAACCTGGCCAGACATGAAATTTAAGGCTAGACGATGATGAATAATAATATTAGGTGTTTTGTTTTGAGGCACGTATATGGGAATATTAAATATGTGTGAACTATAAAAGTGTTTAGGCTTACAAGATTAAATACACAGTCTTCTGTATATAAGAATGGAATTCATTGTGGAAGGAATAGGCCTGTGTGGATATTATGGTAGATAAGTAATCTTTAAAAGGAAATGAGAAATGTTTATGATGAGAGTCAGATGGATGGAAATGCAGATGAGGGAATTTATAATATCATTCTTATAGAGTTAGGATGTTGAGACACTTAATTAGATATACAAAATAGGGATGTGGAATATAGCATGTGCAGATGCACATGGATATATTATTTCTGTAGTCAGAAGTTATATAATAAGCTAGTATGGGAAATACGTCCCCACTGTATGTTTTGTTAGTCTTGTATGTTTTGTTAGTTTCTTTGTGTTATTGTTTTGTAGGTATTTCTGTCTTTTTTTGGTTATTTTTGTATTTGTCTTTGTAGGTATGTATGTCACAAAAATAATAAAATGTTAAAAAAAGAAGTGAAGTGTTCTGTTTTGGTGGTAATTGATATTTTGCTTTCATTTAAAAACATTATTACATTTTTCTCTACAGAAACATGATCAGGGACAAGTGCTCTTGGATATAGTTTTCAGGCATCTTGATCTGACTGAGAAGGACTATTTTGGATTACAGTTGGCTGATGATTCTACTGATAACCCGGTACGTTTTACCTGCTTTCTAAACAAATTCTTCCTTTTTGCAGTGCTTTACAAGTTTGAGGATGCATTTTGTATAGTAGATGATCCTACTGATTGATCTTGAATTTGATAGCTTGCATTTTCCTTGTATTGAAATATACCAAGGTTAGAATGCAAGACAAAATATTCTAAGTTTCATTCTTGTTTGTTTTTTAAAAAAACAGAAGTCTTATTTATTTTATTTATTTATTGGATTTCTATCCCGCCCATTTAGACCAAAGGTCTACTCTTATACCACTTTTAAGACTATTTTTTAAATTTCTCATAAGCTGCTGTGTGTTCTTCAGATGACACATGAAAGCTTATGAAACGTAAAAACTAGTTAGTCTTAAAGGTGCTGCAATACTTCTTACTTGTCTTTTGCAACAACAGAATAATACAGCTACCATTCTAGAAAGATTTGATTTGATCTAGCACTTGCTTGCCTTCCTGGTGGTTTATGGTATTTATAATGCTCTCCTGAAACACCGCTTTTCAAATTTATCATTTTTCTATAAACTTTTTTCACTGTTTAGCTTTAACATATGTACGTAGCAATCCAGAATAACATAGCATGGATTATCTCAGCCTTGCGGTCCAGATCTTTTCCAGTTCTTTCATAGCCATCTACTGATTTCTTGTCTGTAGTGCCCATTTGAGTAGATGGCTAGACCAAGATATAACAACTGCAGTTTCTTTAGTAATCCTTCTGTAGTCACTGCAGAAATCCTGTTCAAGTTGGCATAGTTACTCCTGAGGAAGTGTGCCTGGCATCATTTCCAAGCAGCCAGGCAATCAATTTATGATAGCACAGTTAATAGCTGTGTAGTCAGTTGCATGGTTCATGATTGTGCATTTGATTGCATAACTGTTCACACAGTTTATATCATGATTGTTGTGCTACACACATTGGGGAGTACTTTATGTGTATTACTTGTGCTCTACTGCAGTTTCTTGTGTCATGCACAAGTACTGTAGCTGCATAACAGGATTTTAGCCATTATTCTGCTTTTGTAGTTTTTTACTTTCTTGGTCATTGTTCCAGACTGTTGCTGCTTTCTCCTTGTAGTGTTTTTGTTATCTGTTTATCTTAATTCCTTGATGTGTTTCTCATCAGTTTTCCCTTTCCCTGCATCAAAATCTAATTCAGTTTTTTGTATGTTATGTTCTGAGTATAAATTGAACAGACAGGTATAAGATATGTCCTTGTCTGACACCTTCTAACAATAGTGCCTTATTAAGAGGATAAATTGTGCATCAAGAATGGTCCTTTTTAAGGAGAAAGGTGGGATAAAATATTTTAAATAAGTAAATAATACCTTTTCATCATCACACAGTCAAAAGCTTTACTCTGAACTATAAAGCAAAATCAGATTTTTCTTTTGAAATTCTTTGGTACATTCCAGTAGGAAACATACATTGGCAATATGATTTCTAGTGTCTCTTTCTTTCCTGAATCCAACTTTAACATCTGGCTTTCATCATTCCATGTATGGTAAAAGATTTGTTGTAAAACTCTGAGCATCACTTTGATTAATGAATGGTCCTGTATCCTATTTAAAGGACTGGGATATTGTTAAATGTTTCCAGTCTGTAGACAATAATTTTGTTTTTCATATTTGTTGGTGTATACTTAAGAGGATTTGGTAGATCTATTTCAATAGTTTGACATAATTCTAATGGCACTCCATCTGCTGCTAATGATTTATTTCTTCTAGTTTCTTTCAGTGCACTTGCAAAAACTTCAAATAATGCTTACATGGCTTTAAATTAATCAGAAATGTTGTCAAAATTATAGTTTGGCAATGTGATTGTTTTAGTGTTATTTTCCATCTTTATTTAAATTTGTTATATTAAGAGTCCATGATTATTTCTGCTATTCTTTTTGCACAGATAATGCAGCTTTCCCATCTTTCTTTCTTTCTTTCTTTCTTCCTTTCTTTCTTTCTTCCTTTCTTTCTTTCTTCCTTTCTTTCTTTCTTCCTTTCTTTCTTTCTTCCTTTCTTTCTTTCTTCCTTTCTTTCTTTCTTCCTTTCTTTCTTTCTTCCTTTCTTTCTTTCTTCCTTTCTTTCTTTCTTCCTTTCTTTCTTTCTTTATTTATTTATTTATTGCATGTATATGCCGCCCATCTAGACATAGTCTACTCTGCTTATATAGTCTGTTTGATTTCTATATTGATTGTCTAGTGATGTCAATGCGTACATATGTTGTCTGTTCAGTTGCCTGAAGAATTTGTAACAATGATCAGATAGAGATAGATAGCCTAAGAGAATTCTGTGAGTCATTGCCCTGCTTCTGATTTCTGATTTCTCAGCCTAATTTTTCAAATGTTTTTGTTTCTGCCTTATTTCCTGCTTTTGCATTCCAGTGAGCTGTGATTATCAGCATGTCCTGTTCTGAGGTCTGATCAGTTTGCTCCTGGATAGTTACATAAAAGCCTTTGATTTTTACAGTAAGTCTTCAGCATCTGTAGTGAGGCTCCACTCCAGTGATAGTTACGTTGATAGGTTTTCCTAGGAATTGTAATGGGTGTTATTTGATCAGAGAAGCAGATTCCGACTGCTTGTGCTACATATCGGCTTACTACTGTGGCTGTATTATTATTTTTGAGTCTGTCAGTTCCAGAGTAGAACCTTTGTGATTGCTTGATTGCAGATGCCCTACTTCAGTCCACTTTATTTCACTTACACCAAGTATGGCAATATTGAAACATTACATTTCTTCTCCACCCCCAAGTTTTCCTGATGTGCACTGAAGTGAAAGGAAAGTCCAAAGCAATACAACACATAATTAGAACATGAGAAGGATGAAGCAAGGTAAACTGGAAATCGTAAAGCAAGAAATGAAACATATAAACATTGCAGTGCTTGGTGTCAGTGAACTGAAGTGGACTGAAATTAGATAGTTTCAGCCAGACAGTTATAAAATATTCTACTCTAGAAATAACAAACTCAGAAGAAATGAAGTGGCTCTAATACTGAGGTAAACTGTCGTACAGACAGGGGCTATAATGCAAGATCTGAATAAATAATATCAGATGTCACGCAAAACCTATCAACATAACTCATTCAAGTCCATGCTTTAACTACCAATGCCAAAGAAGATGGAATTGAAAGCTTTTATGAAAGCATCCAAGAGGAAATTTATCACACACACCAATATAACACATGTTTTGCTTATAGGCGATTGGAACATAAAAGTAGGGAACAAAGCAAAAACAAATGTTGCTGGAAAATTCGGCCAAAGAGGCAGAAATGAAGCAGGAGAACGGCTCATAGAGGTCTAGGAAACCAACAATATGTTTATTGTAAATATGTGCTTCAAGCAACCGAATGGACAGCTGTACACATGGACATCTCCAGGTGGTCAATATAGAAACCAAGTAGATTATATAATTGGAAGTAGGAGGTGGAGAAGCTGTATTCTCTCAGCCAAAACAAGACTAGGAGCAGATTGTGATACTGGAATTGTTCATATTCAACATTAAAGTAAAGCTGCAAAAGAACATTAAGTGGATTGAAGTGCCAAAATATAATTCAAACAATATTCCTGATGTGTTTAAGGTCAACATAAGGAATAGATTCACGTTACTAAATTCAGTTGACCATGATCAAGAATTGTGGAATGAAACCAGAAATTATTGCGGAAAAATGCAAAAAGATAATTCCTGTGATAAAAAGAAAAAAAAATTAGATGGGTGATTGAAGAAACACTTAAAATGGTAATGGACAAATGAGAAGCAAACATAAAATGTGACAGGAGTAGAGTCAGAACCCTGAATGCAATTTTTCAGTGACTGTCATGTAGAGCCAAAGAGTACTACTGCAGCAACCAGTACAAAGAAACAGAAAACAACAAAAGAGGAAAAACAAATGATCTCTTCCAGAAGAAATTAAAGGGAAATTTAAATCTAGATTAGGAATGCTGAATGACCAACAGGGGAAGTACACCAGAAGAAAATAAAGAAAAGGTGGAAACAGTATACTGAAGATCTATAAGGAAGAGATAAAAAGGATGGTAAACTCCATTGAAAAAGAATCTTGTGATGAAAAACCTGCAGTTCTAGAAAGTGAATTAAAAGCTGCTCCGAAAGCACTAGGAAGAAATAAATTACCAGGGGTCAATGGGATACTGATAGAATTACACTGGATATAAAAAGTTTACACACCCATTAAAATGTCAAGTGTCTGTGATGTAAAAAAAATGAGACAAAGATAAATCATTTCAGAACTTTTTCCACCTTTAATGAGAGCTATGAACTATACAACTCAGTTGAACAACAAACTGAAATATTTTAGGTGGAGGCAAGTAAAAATTAAAAACTGAAATAATATGAATACTGATTTATCTTTGTCTTATTTTTTACATCACAGACACTTGACATTTCAACAGGGGTGATTAAACCTTTTAAACCTGCTGGCGTCAGACAAGGGTGCATTTTATCCCTTTATCTCTTCAGTCCATATGCAGAAGATATAATATGGAAAGCTGGACTAGATTTGGATGAAGGAGTGAAAATTGGTGGAAGAGACATCAGTAATTTAAGATCTGCAGATGATACCATCTTCCTGGCTGAAAGCATCAATGGCTTGAAATGACTGTTAGGGAAAATGCCAGATCAGGATTTCATTTGAAAGTTAAGAAGACAAAAATCGCAACTTCAGAAGAACTACACAATTTTATCATTGACAATGAAGAAATTATAATAGCGATTCTGTATACCTTACTTGAATTATCAATCCAAATGGAGATTGCAACTGGAAATCAGAAGACTGAGACTAGGAAGGGCAGCAATGAAGGAACTAGAAAGGATACTTCTAGTTACGCTGCGGAAACTTCAGGTGGTGCAGAATGCTGCGGCCAGACTACTCAGTGGAGTGAGAAGATACCAACATATCTCCCCCACTCTGGCCGCATTGCATTGGCTGCCCATCCGATTCCGCATCGACTTCAAAGTACTGATGCTTACTTATAAAGCCCTAA